GGCAGAACACAAGGTATCTCATGAGGTGGCATAACTCACACTGTCTCACTGCATGTGGACGATTTGTTGTTATATGTAACAAATCCAATCACATCTACCCCTGAAATCCTCAGTCTTACAGGAATTTGGAAGCATATCTGGATACAAACTAAGTTTAGCTAAAAGTGAATACTTCCCCATCAGTAATAATGCAAGAGAATACCCCAATCTGCTATTTAAGTTGTCTACCGAGTCCTTTACATATCTGGGTGTAGAAGTCACCAAATCCTATGACAGTCTGTTTAAAAGTAACCTCACTCCTCTATTGGAACAGTGCAAACAAGATGTTAAAAGACGATCTATTTTACCATTATCTCTCATTGGGAGAGCTAATTCTGTAAAGATGAATATTGTGCCAAAATTTCTGTATTTATTTCAGGTGTTACTAGGGCTGGGCCATATCATACCGTTCACGGTAATACCGGTATAATGTTGGGCAATGACAAGAAAATGAAATATCACGATAGAATATGGCTAAAAAGCGCATGCGCAGTGCATTTGTTTTCATACGCACATGGCGAAAAAGGCACGGCGGCGACGGAGAATGACAAGGGCGAAAGCGGATCGTTGAATGAAACCGATGAACCAGAATTGGTTTGTAAAAATGCTGCAACTTCAGTGGTGTGGAACTGGTTTAGCTTTCATCCGTCAGATACACAACAAAGCACTACTTTTGGTAGAGCATGCTAGAGGACCGTCATTATTACCGTGTTTTTTGGAAAATACAGCACCTTAAAATCAATCATTAGATTTTTCTGAAAATCGACAGTGCCCCTTATAGTCCCGTGTGCCTTATGTTTGAATTCTGGTTGTGTTTACTGACCTCGAAACGAATCTGTCAAATGTTTTAGTACGACTTTGCTAAGCTACGAACCCGCACCACTTGATGAATTGTCGGAGCATTACGGCTATCGTAGGCAGGAGCCTGGCGGAGTGATACGTACGGTGCTTCAACATAATATTTCCGTTTTGCGTGTGTATAAGCTCTTTTTAAGTTTTGTGGATATTGTACTTGCTTATGCTGAGGATATGTCGGCCAATTTCCACTGGAAATGCCTTTTGGTTAAACTGTCAGCAAGGAATTTGCATTTGTACTGATACATTTTTATATAACTTTAATGCAAAAAACAGTTGCTTGTTTAAGCGAAAATACATTGATGGTTTTTTTTTGCACTAATAAAATTGTGGAGTTGTAAAGTATTTTGTCTAGTGTCAATTATCGTCAGTTATATCGTTATCGCAAATTTTCAAATCTATATCGTGATAAATATTTTTGGTCATATCGCCCTGCTCTAGGCGTTACCTGTTTACATATCACAATCTTTTTTCATGTCATTTAATCGAATGGTTTCTTCATTTATATGGAATAATAAAACGCCTCATATAAGAAAAGCATTTAGGTGGGCTGTTACTGCCAAACCTGCACACATACTATTGGGTGGCAAATCTCAATACCATCTCTCTATGGCTAAAGGACTGGAATGATCAGATCCCTGCGTGGCTACAGATTGAAAGAGTCACAGGCAGGCCGCATTCACTCCCAGCTTTACTCTGTGCACCCCTACCACCTCTAGTTAATAATGTTAAAGATAACATAATTGTTACTCAATCGATAAGCATTGTAAATCAGTTTAAAAAAACATCTGGGTATTCAGAGTATTTCTATTCACTCTCCAATAATACATAACCATCTTTTTCAACCACCCCTAATGGACAATGGCTTCAAAATTTGGCACGACGGGGGCATTCAGAGTATTGAGGATTTGTATATTAATGATACGTTTGCTAGCTTTGAACAACTATCTAGGAAATGTGGTCTGACTAATAACCATTTTTTGCGATACTTGCAAATCAGAGATTTTATACGTAAAAAGGTTCCTAATTTTCCTACTCTCCCCCCTCCTTCCTGTTTGGATTCTATACTAAGGGTCAATGAGATGAAAAAAGGCACAATATCATTTATTTACTCACATATCATGGACAGCTGTAACCTGTCTATTTCATACATTTGAGAACAGTGGGAGAATGATTTGGGTACCCAGCTGTCTGACGAAGAGTGGCATATGGCTCTTACCAGAGTCCATTTGTCTTCTATATGTTCAAGACACTCCCTAATACAATTTAAAGTGTTACACAGTTAAACTAGCAAAAAATATTTCCGAACATAGACCCATCGTGTGATAGATGCAAACAGACTCCAGCTACTTCCCTTCATATGTTTTGGTCCTGTCCGAAAATTGCTCCTTTCTGGTCATCATTTTTTAAAGTCATCTCTAAAGCCTATGCCTATAACATCTCGCCTTCCCCCTTTGTGGCAATTTTTGGTTGTTTCTCTGGTATCGCGACTTCTGTTCCCCCTGCCCATTTACAGAGGGTCATTGCCTTTTTGTCATTATTAGCGAGACGCCTGATTTTATTTAAATGGAACCTTGAATGTTTTTGTCTGCCCTAGAACAGTCCTGTAAAAACAATTGAGAGGTGCACCGCCCTTTTTTTTGTTTTTTTTTGTCTGTGTGTGTGTGTGAGGGGTTTTTTTGTTTGTTTTTTTCCCTTTTCCTGTCTTGGCATTATCTGTCTTTATGATCTGTGGGGATTGTTGTTTTGTGGTTATCTGTAGAATAATAAGAATGCTATGTATAATCATTGTAAAACTACAAATAAAGTGTTAAAAAAAATGTTAAGCTTTTCATTTATGTTTACCCTCTTATAATGGCGTGGATCTCTTAACAGATCGTTTTAATAATCATTGTCTTTCTATTTTAGATAAAGTCGGTCTTGTAAAAACAGTAGCTCCTTTTTCATTCATTGATGATTAAATGACAGTATTTGCTGTTCACCTTCTTGTTAGAATTGCGAGAGCTGCCTATTTTTCAAACCTGGTTTTGAAGACCAGAAGTAACTCCTTACTGTAACTCCTGCTGTACCTGCAGTCCCAAGTTTTTTAAATGAAGATTGGGAAATCTTTCTCTCCAGCTACTCCATATACTGTATGGCTGCAGACCTCCCAAGTACAAGCTGGAGGTCACCGCCTGATAAAGCCAGAAGAGCCACATCTGGGAATAGCAGAAACATGATCCAGAGGCCACCAAAGTACACATCTGCACCTAGACATTTTGTCCATAAAAGTTATGAACATAGTCTTGAAGGAGGGTGGGCCTGGTGGAGTCCAACTCTCACTGGGAAATGTGCTCACTTACTACTGGCAATGCGAACCAAGCTTTTCTATGGTTATGCTAGGAACAATCCCATAGTCCCAAGGTAATCCCCACAGGATGCTGTTGGGGTGCTTAATGTAAATTGTTATCTTGTTTAGGAAATATGTTATGGGATAATTAATTATAAATAATGAATAAAACATTTAATCATTTTCCATTTTAAAGATAATTTTTAAATATAACTTTAATTTACTGTATGCAGTGGTCCGCAGTTCACCTTTTGCCGATTTTTTTTGTGCAGCTTTGCATGCTCCCCCCCCCCTTTTTTTTTTTTTACAGAGCATTGTGTTCTGCGTCCTGATCAGCTGTGGACCATTGTCAATCAATCTCCTCCGTGCCGTTTCTCCTGTTAAGTACAGAATGCGTTCAGCTTGTCAATTTTACATAAATCGTCGATCGCTAGCAGTGTGACTCCGAAGTGCTGCACTGTATGTTTGTAAGTTTTCTCCAGCAAACACAAAAATGTCGATGAAACGTTTTGCACCAAAGGCAACCGTGGGTGCCTTCGGTTTTATTCTATAATACTGGTCTTATTTTTCTACGAAGTTTTGAACTTTTAGAGTGTGTAAACCATAGAGAAAAGTGTGGAAATGTTCGAGCCTGTTGGAAAAAAGTGTATAAAGTGTGTAGTGAGGGGTTTTACAGCTATAAAACATCTATAATAATTGTAAAAGAAAATAAAGTTAGCTACTTCGCGGATTTCACCTATTGTGGGTTATTTTTAGAACGTAACTACCGCGGTAAACGAGGCACCACTGTACATACTGTATATATACAGTACATTAAATGGGAAGGAAAATGATAGGTTTAAACACACACTTTATAGATCTGCCAGTGTTTGGTATTTTATATGAATAGCCTAAAGCATTCTAGAGTTATAATGAAAATGGGAAACCATGGACTCATTTTGTATTAACTTTTCAGCAGTGCATTTTAAAGAAGTTATTGTCCGACTCTTCAAGGCCATAAGCTTGGCTGTTAGGTGCATTTGTACAAGCCATAATGTGTTTGTAGTGTTGCAAAAAACACTCAAAGGTCCTGTGAATGTTTGCCACATTTTTGGTCTTGTTTTAAGCCCCTCAGAGTAAAATGTGTAGACTGTCACATGTTATTATGTGTTATTAATCTGCCCAGAGATTAATAACATCAGGGTCAGTGCAGAACTCTAGCAAGTCTGAAGAGACATGACTACAACACCATGGTCAGCGAAGGGATACGTATGAAAAAAGGGAGAACAGGACATGCTAATGACTCATATGAGAGTAACATTTACAGACACTGCTCATACAGCTTTCAGTGCACAAACAAGAGGCACAATAAATACACTAGTGTAGGACAGGTTGCTGTGAGAGACACTACATACAAAGACAACAGGAAGCAGAAAACCACAAGGAGAACCACAAGCAGAAAAACTGGAATATATTGCGTGCATAGAGTCTCAGTTTTCACTTCTGTTGATATGTGGAAATTCAATTTGGACATATTCATGTGTACAGGGAAGGAGTAAGGAAGAGAGGGGGGTTTGTTGGACTGACTGCTGAAGAAAGCTGCTTTGACTGTATTTTTCAGAAGTCTTTTCAAACTTTATGCAGGCTCATTAATGCAGGCTCACAAATAAAACATTATATTACCCAACTGGACAGAACATTTCTCAGTGTGACAATGAACAAATGCATAAACACATGCAATACCACCAATATTTAATAACTTTGAAATGGACTTCTGTGATAAGATTTGTTACGGTACCTGCCAGGCAGTAAAACAGGAAGTACACATGAGGTGACCGCATGGTTCAATCTTGATGTCTTTGTCATTCTCAGCACAGATCTTACAAAGCTGAAAGGTAGAGCCCATTTCACAGTACAGCTCATACTGCTCCTGTTCATGCAGAAAATACTGCTGTTAGTCATCAAATGGCATATAAAAGTCATTAGAAACATATAAACATGCACTATCCGTACAACACACGTTTCCCATCTCGTCTTGTACAATGTCTTTTTCTTCTCTCACTCGTTCAGAGCTATTCCATAACCTTTTATCTTTAAAGTCCCAAATTTTATTTGGGGATCTAACTGAATAAGTGTTCAGTTCAAAAGAAAAAAACATGTTTTCTCATAGTGAATGGTGCTGCACCAAATTCACAGAAACAGACTATTTTTATTGGTTTAATTTTAAAGGCTTCCCCCTGAAAAACCAAGTCTGATTTGTCACCATTACTAAACAAAAATAAGTACAAGAACAGGTATAGCTGTGTAAGAACTGCTAGCTACTAAAAACCTACAATTTATCTGTACAGTTTTGAAACCACAGAATAATCAGAATTTCCACCCGAGTCAGCATGTAGCATAAACCAAAATGGTTTTAAGCATTTTCTAGAGAAATTTTCCCAAATTACTTCCATTGTGACCATTTAATAATCTACCAAGAAGAAAATCGCTTTTGTAGCGGAAGCCTTGGTGGAGCTATGTTTGCAGTGATGTTTTCAATGATGCAAGCAAAAACTACCAAGCCAAATTCCATGAAATTGTACAGTGATGTAAATATTTGAAAAAGAGGATCTCATTGGATGGTGATGTAGAACTGGATAACTTTCTTAAAGTGGCCTTGTCAGATAATACTCTTGCTGGTGCAGGAAAAACAAATAAATAATAAGCAGACTGCTTGCTGGGCAACTGTCATTCACCTTTGAAGTTTCCCAGTATTCCCTAACTGATCTCGTTTGGAATAATTTTCTCAGAAAATTAAAATGTCAAAGTACAGTGAACACTACACCATTACACATGAATGAATAAACAAACCACTAGTAAAAAGTGGTTTAAAAACAACTTTTATGTACTATTTTGAAATTGAAAAAATGTGGTTTCACTTCTAGAAAACTTAAAGTTTTTGTCACACTATATGGAAAATTCAGTTTTGTAATAAATCAGAAGTGAGTATAAAAAGCCATTGATTTGTATTACCTCATTTAATACCACACTTTTACACAGTGATTTTCAACATTTAATAGTTTGGAGAGGCTGTAAGTCATGTCGATTTACTGAATGCTGTAAAACACAAAGTCTACCTGGCAAATCATACTACTCACCGAAATGTCACAATTATTTATGTGCCATTACAAGTGGGAAATTTGCAGAGTATTATAAATTTCTCCACGTATACATGTTTTTTTCCCCAGTAACATAGAAATGCTTACACACACACATAACCACACAGACAAACCCACTTGTGTGACTTTGATGTGATCGTGAGGTGTCGGCTCACATAAACCAGTGAGGTCAGGATTGTAACTGCGACCATCTGGGAATAAGTAGCTGTGAATTTAAAGCAAACAACCAAACAACAAAGAACAGCATTTCATTATATGTTATATTTATAAGAGTTTAACTTGTGCACAATTCAATAATCATGAATTCTGTCTAGTTAAAAACAGTGGGTATAATTATGTAATGAGTAAAGTGAAAAAATGGATTAGTAGTACTGTTTGTATCAGTAATATAACCAGTTTTTTCCACCACTTGAATTAAATATATATGTCTAACTTTTTTGAAGGCTTTTAATATTATCAGGTTTATTGAAACAGACAACATCAGATAAACACTTCTGGGTCAAAAACCCTTTCTTGATCCAGGATATAGCTTTCATAAAAGCTATATCCATATATATAAACCAGAGATTAGCAACAAATCTCTGGTTTGCTGCTAAACATTTAAAGCGAATCAGATGTGACCACTGAAGATACAATTTGTGACTTTCTGTTTGTAGAAAGCGACAAGCTCACCACATACCTGCAGAGAGTGAGTTAGAAAAAGAGATGTGTGACAGGTTACATACAAGCCCTCCTTGTAGCCATCGATTAAAGCCTGGAACAGCGGTTTGTTGTTGGGAATGGTCTGCAGTATGTTTCCATCAGTGGTCACATAGCCAATGGCCCATTGGCCCAAACGTGTACAACTCAGTCTGAAGATGTAACTATTAGAGAAAGAGAAAGATATGCATGACTCACACTAAAAACATCACTGACAAGGAAAAATCTGGTAACAACTGAAAAGAATGCAGTGACTACTGGCGAGTCAGTGACACCTTGGAACGATGGCATTAAGCGCAAATCAGGCTTACAACAGAGTCTGTGTCTTCTGTAAGGTGGCCCCCCAAACAACACAACACAACACACAGGTGTTCAATCTGTTGAGAAGGAGGCCTGGAGTCACCCAAAGTCAACTTGAGTCTGGCAATGATATGGTCCAAATTATAGAAGCAACCATGATAGGAGATATTGGCAGGAAACTTCAAGCCATGGCAACAATAGGTTCAGAGGAAAAAAGATGAAAAATATCAAAGAATGAGAACGGGAAGGTGAAAATCAAAAGACAGTTACATGTAGGCTTGACACTATATAAATGTCATGGTTACAGGTTTTGGACTTTTGAATTATTTATTAATCATTTAAAGCTCCACTGGAATTCTTAGTATGTATGTATTCGTACACACACACACACACACACACACGCACGCACGCACGCATGCATGCACGCACACATATACCTGTAGTTTATATTAGGGCTGGACGGAACTAGTTTAGCCTGGAAACTAAACTCGATCTTGGACACTGGTTATATTAAACAATTTCTTTCCTCTACTGGCTGTCAAAGAAAAAGAACAACAACAATAACAATGACAAATAAAAATAAACTAAAAAATAAACAACTTATCCCATTATCTAAAATACATTGTTGATGTACCACAAAAAGGTACCCCAGACCTGATCAAAAATATCTTCTCTCCCCTTAACTCTGTGCGTAACTTGCTCATATAATGCCATCTTGGACATTTGTTCAGTCCATTCCCTGAAACAACAGGGGTTAGATGACTTCCAGTGCCTCAGTATTATCCTGCATCCTGTTATGAAAGCCTAGTCCATAGTCTCTGTCTTCCAGTGAGAATAATACTGAAACCAGCTTCTTCCAACTATCCTCTGAAATTTGAATTCCAAGATTATTCTCCCAGCACAGCCTCAGCCCCTCCAGATGGGGAGAGTGTTCCTCTCTGAAGATCCCATAAAATTTGGAGGCTCTGATTCTATTGATGCCAGGAGCAGTGAACACCTCCTGAATACTAGATGGAGGGTCTGGATTATTGTTCAAAATGGCTTTAATACAGTGTCTAACTTGAAAAAACCTCCAAAATTCCCTTTAATCAAGATTAAATTCTTGTCTGATTTCCGCAAACGATTTCATGCCAGTTTGCCCAAACAAATCCCCCACTTGGTTGATACCTGCCCTAACCCAAGCCTCCCATCTGAACGGTTTCTTACCAACTAATATTTTCTTATTTTACCAGATACAGGCTCTAGAGGTGAGAAAGGGGCTAGTGGTGATAAATTGGTGAGCTCTAA